TGTTTAGAATAGCTAATTTATTTTCCATTTTTTAGATCGACTGTTAAAGCTTAAGTTTTTGAATCTTATGTTGTTGATGTTAAAAGTGTTAGAGTTTTTTGTGTATATATATATATATATATATAACTAGTGAACGAGTCAAAATGACTTAACTCTCTTTATAGTCCACCAATAGAAGGTTAACCAATCAGAAGCCGCAGAACATTGTATCCGTTGTGTATAAAGGCGTCCATTTTTGTTTATCCTACCCGAATGACAGTGCCAGTTTGTCAGGCGAGGATGACAGAAGGATGAACTAAACTCTGCTACTTTGCTGCGATATCCACTGCTCACCTGAACTACACTTTCCTACTGTCTCCGAAATATTCACTGCTAACCTCTGGATTCTATACTCGAAGACGACCGTCATGAATTTGTAACAAAAAGTTCTGGACACTGCCGACAGCATTTTTAACATCAACAACACAAAATTCAGAATTATACCTTCTAACACTCTATCAGCAAAATTTGAAAATAAATTATATCACCAACACTAGGGTCTTACCACGTCACATAGAAGCAAAAGAGAAGACATCTTACTAATGGCGACTTCCTGTCTTTATCATCGTAGAATGCACTTGAGTTAGGTGTACTTATCTGTCACTGATGTCGAAGTATGGAGTTCGTGTTAAAGTAGCTTCCACATGAATTATAGGACCCAATATTTTTCTGCCGAATGTCATCAAAATCCCCATACTGCATCCACCGGCTTCTTGCTTGCCCACAATATTTCTGGTGCCATCACATTCCACACCGTACTTTGATGTATACATTATTCAAAGAGAAAACGGGACTCGTCGGACAAGGCGAACTTTGTCTAATGATAAAATCTCCAGTTCTTCCGCTCGCATATACACTGAAGAAGCTTTCAGCATTGTACATGTGTTTCCAGGCGTAAGATTCCCCGCCTGCCGTTACGCAGCGTGATAAGCGAATTATGTGTATATATATAATATATACCTTATTTATATTCGGTATCGTTTTAGTTTTATCTATTTTGGTTTTACGGCGTATCAAACACAATGGGTTTTTAATGCCGACAAGATTTTTAGGATAGATTCATATGAATACAATATGTATTCTTTGTAAGAAAAAAATTTTTAGATTAGGTTTCATTGATGTATTTTCAAATGTATTGCTGGTAATTTTTTTTTAATATGTATCGCTGGTACTTTTATAATAATAATCTCTCTTTCCCTCTATTCAACATGTTATTATCAGATTCTCCAATCCCTCCTTTCTCGTCTCGCAGAAATTTCAGCTGCATCTTCCTATTGGTACGTATAAGCTTCCTTCTTGTTTGCATCCTCTCCAAAATTTAATCGTTGCTCACAAGCTCGGTCCATGATATCCTTAGCATTCTTCTGTAGAACCATATCTCCGTTGCCTCAAGTCTCTTCTTCATCTTTCAGGAGACCCTCCAACATTCACTGCCGTAGAGGACAGATGTCCTGTAGCAGCTCAGTACTTTTTTCTTTGTTGCCAAAGAAATCCTCCTGTCTCGTGATACACTCACTAGCTTTTGGAATGCGTGTTTGGCCATTCCTAATACATCTTCGGATTTCAGCGTCGCCCATACCATCCGATTTCGAAACACTTCCGAGATATTTAAATTTCCCCACCTGCTCGATTTTAGTACCCCCGACCTGCAAATCGCATTTCGGGCTCCTCCTCTTACTGATGACCAAGCATTCTGTCTTCTTGTAGTTTATGCTTAGTTCCTTTTTTCTCACTCTCCTCCGCCGCCTTCTGTGTGAGAAATTCTGCAATTAAAGCTAAGCTCCTATTGGCTAATTTATGCCACACCGTATTTTGTACCGACGAAGCTCTTTGGTTGAATTTTCCTTTGCTTTTCGCGGGCATTTTCAACTGCCCGTGCATTTTTTTCAGTTGCTGCAAAATCTTCGAGATGGCAGGACTCATATTTCTCTCACATTGCGGAGCTTTCAGCGCCCAAAATTAAGCCTAAATGACTAGGCAATTATTCTTCTTGTCTCATATTCTAGAGACTTTTTAAGGCTGAATAATTCAGTCTGTTTATTGACTGTCGTCACATTATGTACTTTTACATGAAGAACCTTTCTGCATGCTCTCGACAAATAGCCGAGTTTTTATTTCAGCAACCAAATTGGTAATGCTCCTGTTCGACGACCGTCAAGTTCCTGCTTCTTCGAATCTGCCTAGAGGCCAGTTGAGTCCTACAGAAAAGAAAAATACAACCACTTCTTTGAAGTAACTACCCCACCCTATTCACAGGGGCGCAAAAGGGTATAATCTTATTTGTAAAGACGAAATAAAATTTGTATTGAATTTTAAGGTAGGCTTTGTTTGAATTTTATGTCTTTTCTTGTCTCTGCCGGGGTTAAACCGTGTGAGAAGAAATTCTCACATCTGTAGAAGATTTTGTAATTTCTTTACCATGTCTGCTATCAGTATTCTGCCATTTGTGTATCTTATGTTATTAAGATTGTGGCTGCCAATGATGAATCCTAGTAGGACTTCCAGTTGCCTCGCTGTATAGGTTGAATAAGTCCGGTGAGAAGACACATCCTTGCCGTACGCCCCTTTCTATTCTTGTATAATGCTGAACTCATTCGCTTTGCGTATGCATGTCGTTTGCTGCCAGTAAAGTTTCTTGATTATTCTAATATCTTTCCGAAATACTGCGCTTAAATTCATAAAGTCCAGGTACCTTCGAGCAAAGTTCCTAACTTCATTAGAGCAATTACCATGAAAGTATTTATAGGAAAAGCTCAGGGTAGCTACATTACGGCGCTGGGGAAGTGACTGAATTTGGAATGCCGAGTCACCACCCAAAATATTGCAGAATATATATATGTATGTATATATATATATATATATCTGTGTGTGTGTGTGTTCATGGGATTATTATTTATCCCTCTACGACCTACAGTTTGCTCCTAATTTTTCAAATCTCCATACCGCAATGCAAGTTGGCTCCCTGTGCCGTGCCAGGAAATTTTACTCCCCGAAATCGATGCTCCAGATCTACAAATCAACAATTCGCCCTTGCATGGAGTATTGCTGCCATATATGGTCTGGTGCCCCTTCTGTTTGCCTCGGGGTTCTTGATAGGCCCCAGAGGCGGATATGCAATATAATTGGCCCTATTCTGGCATCTCGTCTACAGTCACTTTCTCACAGACGCGCCGTCCCCTCTCTCTGTCTGTTTTACAAATACTTACATGGACATTGCTCCGAGGAGATGCATTCGCTGGTTCCCAGGCTTCATGAGTTCAAGCGCCCTACGAGGCTGGCATCCCGCTCTCACCCCTTCACTGTCGAAACTTCTAAATGTAGCCGTACTCTAATAGCTTCATGTCTCGCACTTCTCGCCTGTGGAACTCCCTTCCCTATTCCACTTTCCCTGAGAGCTATAATCTCCAGCTATTCAAATGTAATGTCAATCGACATCTCCAGTTGCCTTGATCTATCCACTACCCTTCTCTTCATACCCTCTTCTATCACTCCTATCTGATCTCGCTCTATATTTTCTGTAATGGCTTTCTCGTCCTAATGGCTTCTCGCCTTGCTTGGGGTGAAATGCTTAAAAAAAATACATACATATATATATATATATATATATATATATATATATATATATATATATATATATAATAATCTCAGACAAATTGTTTCGCTGTATCACAATTTCTTAGTGTAGCTATATATATAAACAGACATTGAGTTCAAAACCGAGTTGAGACCTATTTCATGATTGAACGCAATCTTCAGGTCATCTCTCTTCTGTTTAAGCTTGGCTATTTATATACGCTAGTGAATGGTGTATTGTGAGTAGTAAGGACTATTGTATTAACCTAACGGCTACAGCAGTTAGGCAGAAATGGTTATATTTCAAATTATACTAGAAGTTATTTAGTAGAAATAATTGTGGTTATCTGTAGCTATTATAGTTTTGACTAATTTATGTTATTATTGTCATATAGTATTTTTTTTAAATTTATTGCCTAATTATTTCTTTGTTCTTTTCTTCTTTTTAGACGTTTAATTTCTATGATTCTTTCTTTTCACATCCTTTTTAGCTTTACGTTTATATTCTTTTCTTTCTTTTTTCTTTCCTTTTTTTCCTACATTTTTTTTAAATTTTCTTAAAGTATTTCTTTTTCTTTTCATCTTATTTCTATATTCCCCATTGCCACTTACCATCCGTTTACCTGTCTTCTAACAAACAGTTTTTATTTTTGTTGTACCAAGTAAATAGTTAAAAAATAACAAACCCAGTGTTGCACATATATTAAACAGTAAGTACAACAGAAGCGAATTACACGACTAGTGAGTGTGTCGGTTGACCCAGCGTTCAATCGATTCGACTGTTAATATTTAACAGCCCCCACCAACGAGGGATATATGTGACACAAAGCCAAGTTTAGCGTAGGTTCTCCGAGTCCGTAGGCTCGGCCAAAAATATTCCCTTAGAACCCGTATAACGGGTTCAGGGCCTGTCTACCTTCCCGGACGAAACTTTGCCCTTCGGCAAAGCATCGTTCGGGTTCCTCTCTGCCGAGGTAGAGAGTTCGACAGTTACGAGCAGTCTGGTCGACTGTTAATATTTATCTGACAGGAGGGTGTATGTGGCACAAGGCCGAGTTTAACGTGGGTTCACCGAGCCCGGAGGCTCGGCCAAAAATATTCCCTTTGAACCCGCCTAAACGGGTTCAGCGACTGTCTACCTCCTCGTCCGAGTTCCTCTCCGATCGAGGCAGAGAGTTTGACATGAATGAACAGTCTGGTCGATTGTTTCCCCAAGGCCTTCTCTCTTACTAATCTTATAGTAGGCGGAAGTGTCCAATATAGACTTTTTAGAAGGAAAACACCACAACAATTCTGTGAAATCGTTTCTTTTGCTTCATTTTTTTTTCTTTCCGTTTCCCTCTTTTCTGTCTGTCTGTGCGTTCCTTCCATCAGTCTTTTGCGGTATCGCATTGAAACACTGGTTCTCGTAAAATCACCGAAGTTAAGCAACGTCGAGTCTGTTTAGTACCTAGATGAATGACCTGTTGGAAATACCCGGTGCTTGGATGAATGGCTGTGTAATGGACAACGTCTCCAAATAGGAAATAGGACAACTTAGTTCGACTTCCGGTTGTACTATATCCACTTACATGCAAATTCATTTAGGAAAGGCAACAATCTGACTATTTATCAGTAAATCATTATTTTCCCCAAAAATGTCTTATAAGCTAAAAATATATTTTTTTTTTTTTGTCTGTAAATAACCTGCAGTAAAAAATCAAGCAATCTATTCGTCTTTTATTTGTTTACGGCATTATTTAAAATGTTTTCAAAAATGCTTTTCTCAACAATTCTTTTTGCTATTTTGTTATTGAATATTTGGCAATATTTATCTTTAGTAGTTTTTCTCTTTCTATCGTCGTCTCTTGTGGTCTTTGCATCATTTTATTTTATTTCTTATTTTTGTTATTTTTTCCTTTCTTCCCTTTCATTTCGCGCATAATACGATATTTCTTTCTTTCTTTTTTTCTTTTTTTCTCATACTTTTTCTTCTTTCACTATTTTTCTCTCCTTTACGCATTGATCTATGCATACTGCGTCTTCATCTTTTAATTTAGTTTATAAATATTTATCTGAAGGTCGGATTGAGGACTCGGAGAGCCGATTTGAATTCTAGCCGAGTCCATTATATTCACTTACGTGTTAATACCCTTCGGAAAGCTATGAATACTCTTTCTTTCTTTCTTACTGTCTTTCTTTCTTACTGTCTTTCTTTGTTCCTTTCTTTCTTTCTTTCCTTCTTTCTTACTTTCTTTTTTTGTTCCTTTCTTGCTTTCTTTCTTTCTTTTTTTCTTTCTTTGTTCCTTTCGTTCTTTCTTTCTTTCTTAATGTATTTCTTTGTTCCTTTCTTTCTTTCTTTGTTCTTTTCTTTCTTTGTTCCTTTCTTTCTTACTTTCTTTCTTTGTTCTTTCCTTCTTTCTTTCTTTCTTTCTTTCTTACTGTCTTTCTTTGTTCCTTTCTTTCTTTCTTTGTTCCTTTCTTTCTGTCTTTCTTTGTTCCTTTCCTTCTTTCTTTCTTTCTTACTTTCTTTGTTTGTTTGTTTCTTTCTTTCTTTGTTTCTTTCTTTTTTCCTTTCGTTCTTTCTTTCTTTCTTACTATCTTTCTTTGTTCCTTTCTTTCTTTCTTACTATCTTTCTTTCTTTCTTTCTTTCTTTCTTTCTTCCTTCCTTTCTTTCTTTGCTCCTTTCTTTCTTACTATATTTCTTTCTTTCTTTCTTCGTTTCTTTCTTTCTTTCTTTCTTTCTTTCTTTATCTCCTATCTTCTCTGACCTGTGCCTCGTGTTTCTTTTTTCTGTTCTTGTATTTTTCTTCCTACTCTTCCCATTCTCTCGTTCTTCTTTCTTTCTCTTTCATCTTCTTCCCCCATTTCATTTTTGTTGTAAATCTCTCACTCTCTCTCTCTCTCTTTCCCTCTGTCTCTCTTTCTCCTTCCTTCTTATACGAAACTCTCAACAATTTCCCCCAGTTTCTCCTTTTCATCCTCAACAAAAATTAAATTTCCTTCTTACTTCCAATCTTCATGAATATATTTCCTCCTCTCGACCCACATATCTTGTTCTTATTCATTAGCCCTGCCTCGCTAGATTCCCCCTTCAATCACTTCCCACTGCTTTTCTAGCCACTTCTCTGCCTCCGTCCATGCTATTTTTCCAGTGAGTGTGCCATTCCCTGCAAATGAACACAGACCATTCTTTGTTCGCTTACGATGGGAAGCTGACGCCCAACCTCAAAGAAAAAACGATAAACTCAATTCCAGATAAGCCAGTCTTTATTCTATCAATTCCCACCGACCCCAATTAAGAACAGGTTTGTCATAACATTTACTTCAAACATCATCATCAGCAGCAGCAGCAGCATCATTGTTACTATTTTTCAACTTCAGATTATTAATAATAATAATAATAATAATAATGAGTGACAAATTAACGTCATCCTCATCCTGTACTAACACGTAACTAAGATAATTCTATTTCCTCACTGCTACAAGAGTAAAGCATTCAAGTCAGTGAGAAAAATCCGCGTTTGAAATGGTTCTCTTTCTTGTGTCATGTACCTTCACGACATGGCTGATAGTGGCTCTCCGCAGCCTCGCCATATTTTAGAGCTCTAAGTGTTTTTTTTTTTTCCTTCTGACAAGCCTCCAATTACCTTTCGCATAAGCTCTATTTTACCTTTGAAATGGAATTCTTTGGAATTGAGACTCAGGGTCTCAATTCCAACTTTACCTGTCTAATAAATTTCACCTGTCTCATTCTGATTCTGTGTATAAACGTCTTTTTTGTTTCTGTTTTTCTTAAGAATTCTTAGTTATCATGCTATTCTTAGCATTCACTAGAGCCACATTTGTGATGCCTTCAGTCCTCTCTTCATCTGTGGGGAAATTTCCAGCATTCACAAGCCTATAACAGGATTGATATTACAATTATATATTATTATATACAATTATATATATATATATATATATATATATATATATATATATATATATATATATATATATTATTATTATTATTATTATATATATTACTGGATATAACAGGATTGATTATTAGATAAGAGTTCAGCGCGCTTTCTTTGTGTCTAACGAACATTATCCGTTTCTTAATAGTTTGTTTAGTTTTTAGAATGCACCTTTTGCGATTCCAGTGTGCAGCCGGATTTCGGTGTTGCATTTACTATCCTTTACTATAAAAGCATAGGTCGTCCTCATTAGAATGATCGTCCTTGGTGTGACGATAAACTACATCCGGCAGCAAGACCTCTGATCGGGAGATTGGAGGTTTTAAGAATTGTTGAACCATGTCTTGATTGCTATTGCTGCTATGCCGACCCTGACCCGGTGTGACGGTACGTGTCTGAGTCCCAACTAGGGGAAAATAGTGAACACCCAAACAAAAACCAACAGGGCATTTTTATATTAAAATAACCAACAATACATTTTATAGAAAAATTATAATTAATTCAACACAATAATATAAAAATGCATTTTTATAGTAAAATTACAAACAACAATAGATTTTGCGATCTACAATATATATATATATATATATATATATATATATATATATATATATATATATATATATATAGTTGACGCTATAAAATTGTGTAAAAATATTTAGATTTCGGAATAACCCATACAGGTGTTGATATGCCGTTGAAATATTAATCAGTCATTAGAATAATTGACATACTCTTCTTACTATTTGGTTTTATGTCGGGTGTTTTATGACGTTAACTTTAGTTTTTTTATGTGATATGCCTCTTCAGCATATCACTGATCATGACCCTCCACTACTTCCTGTCCTTCGGATCTCTAATCACTGTCTGTGCACTTACGGTCCCTCGGTTTGTGTTTCATTCTTGCGTCTATAAAAGTTAGGTAGGTTACTCGATGTTTCTATTTGCTCTTCTTGCCTTCAACCTCTTCTGTGAGAATAAAATTCTATAAGACGACTTTACTTATTATGTCTTCCAACATTTCCATCCGGGCCTTTCTGGTTATATGTTCAAGTGTTCTTTGTGCTCCTCTTTTTAGCAAGATATCTTCATGCTTCATCCATAATATTCTCTGCATCATTTGTTGAACAACAATCCCTCTTGCCTAAAGTTGCTTCATCAATATTTTCAAAAGATAAAGCATATTATATATTACTGAGAAGACGATGGCTACGCAGAGGACATCTTATGAGTCAAATAAGAACACAGGTAGAATTCGTTAGAACAATTCAGAAAGACGTAGAATGATGAAATATAATAAAATATAGGAATCTTAAGGTAAACATTACACATAGGCCACAATCTAACTTCCAAAAAATAGGGGAAAAAAAGAAAAATTAAACATGATTGGGTTGAACAGTGATCTACTGGGAACTTTCAAGTGACTTTTGTTCAGCCATATAAACAGATGCTACATGAAGACTCTTCAGAAGTAGGTTAGAAAATAAAAATAATCTGAAAGTTAAAGGATTAAAATAGACGTGCGTTATCTAAAATACAAATCATCCAATTGACTTGGTGAAAACAAAACAATATATAATGTTTGAGGCTGCAAATAAGGAGAAGTGAAAATTGGAGAAGCACCAAGTCGTTGCCCGAAAACTAAAAAAAGAAAAAAAAGATGGGGAAAAACAACCGTAAAAGTAAAGAAAACATCAAGCTATAGATTGTGCTCATCATCAATGGCGTCTGTGGAACGATATCAAAGATTCTTCCGATGATACGGAAAAAAATAAATGTCTGCAAAATATCTGAATCCATTTAGGCAACAACAGCGCTGATATTGACGTGATTACTGAGGAGATTGTAAGACATATTAGAAGATGTGTTACTATGATAATAATCATATTCATCCAGTGTAGTAGCAGGAGTAGAAATAATAATAATAATAATAATAATAATAATAATAATAATAATAATAATAATGCATTTAATGGACACAGTTATGATGTCCGACTCAACAATGCGACATCAGCAGGGCCTTGCGGGATATTTTATCACAAGTGACTATCATTTTCAACGGACATCTTCAGGTAAACATTCTGAAAATAAATTCAAAATCTACTTACCATTCAACTAGCAAAATGTATGAAGACAATTACATAGGCAAACAATGGGGGAATGAAAAAAATAACAATTTTCCATGAGATGTATACTAAACTATTTGCTCTAACGAGATGTCATGGCCCCTATCATGTTACTCACGTTTGAGTTGCATTCCATTCACGCTGGCAGCTTTTCGTTCAATTTGCCGCGTTGATAAAGACTTGTGTAATTTTTATATATTTTTTTATACTTGTAGGCTATTTTTATACATAACTTGAAGATGACATACATACTGTCGAAATATTATTAAACACTGTGGCTTTTCTTAAATCGCGCAATTCTTTTGTCATGTTGCAAAATATTAGAAGAGTTATATCAATCATATTGTTTAATAATAATAATTATAGTGATAGCGTGTCCCAAGACCGAACGTGGTCGTAGGGTTTCTGCGCAGTTG